CCCCCCCCAACCCCTTTTCTAGTCCCTGGCCTGGCTGTGAGATCCCAGTTTCTATGGCCGATGGTATCCATTCTCTGTAAATGCTTAGTGAGGACCTACTCTTCACCAAGGGCCACTTTGTGTACATGACTGTGCTGAGACGGTCCAGCATGGGGGGTGGATACATAGGGCCTGGTACACAGTAAGCGCTGGGTTCCCAGGTGGCACTGACCAACTGGATGTCCATTATCTTTTCAGCCAGTCTGATTGAGACTTGTTCACTGCAGACCCCTTGGTACTCAGCATGGGGGCCTGGCACAGAGTAGGGACTCAAGTATCTGCTAAATTAAGTGATTTTTAAGCATACAACTAGGACATGAGGTAAGTGGGGAATGGGGAAAGTCATCCAGGGCCGGGAAGCCTGTGTGTGTGAGGGCACAGAGACCTGGGATAGGGTGGCCCCAGGCACCCTATGGCCCCACCCCAGGCTGCCACAGCAGTCAGCACCATAGGCTGGCTGCCAGCAAGCTGGGCTTTTAGTCACTGCGGGTGTCGGCTTCAGAGCTAATTGAGAAGGAATCGACCTGACCAATGTGGGCGTCAGCAAGGCCAGGACACCAGGGTTCTATTTCTGGCCTCGCCTCTGCCTTCTGCCCGACCTTGGCCCTGCCCTTGCCTGAGCCTCGGTTTCTCTCTCTGGAAAACAGGAACAAAAGTCTTTGGCCCTTTGTCTCTGGAGGTCTAAGAAGGTTTAAAAGGAGCATATAGAGGAACTCCCTAAGTCTTATCTCTCTTGCTTCCCCTCATAGGTCTCCAGGGTGATGACAAAAATACTACCCAGGGTGTATGTCTGGGTTCTAGGGTCCCAGAGGTATGAAGACAAGCCCCCACCCCCCTTGCCCTGGTGGGGGGAGGGGATGCTCTGCTCCCCCTGCCGGCACCCTGGGCTGGGAAGGGAGTGAGGGGGGGCCAGGCCCCTTCAAGATTTATTAATCTGCTCTAAGGAAATCCACCAGGGAAGCATGGAGGTAACAGCAGAATAAATCTCTCCCCTTCCCAGGCCTGGGGGCAAGGGGTACTCTTACAACCAAAAGCATCACCCTCAGCCCATTCCACAGGCCCCACACTGGACTTCTTCCAGGTGCATCTTCAGAAATGCACTCCTCATTCCCCCCATTGACTCACATGGTGGGATAAGGACAAGGGAGGGGCTCTGCTGGGGACATGGGGACGTGGGAACATGGTGAGGTGGAGGCTGGATCTCGGCCAAACCTGAGGAAGGAAAAGTCAGCCCAGCCTTTCACCCCAATATGTGTGCCCGGAAATCTGGCCAGCCAGGGCTGAGTGGGCCCCACCCAGGGCAGCCCACTGGACACAGTGACCTTGGGCCAGAGGAGAACTCAGCAGTGACCCCAGATCCCCCAGATCCCAGCATGGCTGCCACCCCTTTTCCCAGGCGGAGGGGAGAATCTTCTGGTCACACAGACCTTTGAGGAAGTGGCTCGTGAGTGAGCCATTTGGACACCCTGAGTGTGTGCCATGTGTATTCACTGCCAGTGGGTGAGGTACAAAGGCAATGAAGCTGGGGAACCTCTCACTCTGCAGACCCCAACCCATCATTAAAACCTTCCAGTGACTTCCAAAGCAACGTGTTCATTGGGGATCTCAGGAGCTCAGACCTGTCTCTTACCATGTGTTCTCCTTGAACTCGCCAGGTAGCCTGCCCTCCCCTCACAGCCAACAGACCCTCCCTGATTCCTGGGAACCTCTCCCATCTAGAGACCCACACCCCAGCAGAGTAGGTCCTGCCTCTCCAGCTTCCTGAGGCCTGTGTCTGCCTGACTATCTGCCCTTCCACCCCAGGGACCATCCAGGGCAGGACCAGACACAGAGCTGTGGCAAGGAAGGGCTTCCACAAGTTTGGAGGAAGTGGCATCTCTCTCTCCCCAATTATCTATCACACAGAGGAAGACACTCTGCAGACCCTAGGCCACCCAGCCTGAGACCCCACATTCTGCCTCCAGAAGGGGCCCAGACTCGAGAGACTTCTCTGAAATGTCTACGTGGCCCGTTCTCCAGCCTTTCCTGGCAAGTTACCATTGTCCTTCCCCTCCCCACCCACACAACCAGGGTGACCCATGTGGCTGCACAATATGTCTTTTTTGCCTTGTCTTCCCTGTCTCCTCAGCATCGGGCCAAGCTCTGTGGACAGAGGATGAGGATGCCAGGGCAAGGCAGCCTCTTACCTTTGAATGAGAGCCGGACCCGGGGCGTGGCTGGGAGGTGGTCCTGGGTGGGGGTGGCTGGCCAGGCCCCGGTCAGTAGGGAAGCCCAAAGGAGAAGACCAGCAACAGGCATTGTGGGAGGGGCCTAGGGCCCAGGAAGCAGGCTCGGCTGTCTGGACACCTGGGAAGGGGGAACCAAGATCAAAATGTATAAGGCAGATAGGGGCATCCTCCCCTACCAACTCTCCTTGCTCACACCCTCAGCCTGGGACCATGAAAGCCCCAGTGTGCAAACTTGATATACTTTTTTGTACCTGCCTTTGTCTGGGAAGGTGTAGCCAATGGGCCTGAAGACCAAACAACCAGGTGCAGCCTGGGGTCACCAGAGCTAACAGGGGCCACTGGAGACTCAAACAATGCCCCCCGCCCCAGCATCCTGAATTCCATTCACAGGGTCCTGCTGAAGCAGGCAATCTTACAGTCCCTTCCAGTTCCCAGCAGGCTCTCTCTTTTGTGCCCACCCCCAGCCAAATGGGCTGCTCCTTCCCTCGCCCACCTCAAGGATTGGAGGAAGAGATGGATCCAGTCCTGCCTGCTCCAGCCAAACCTATCCTCCCAGTACAGGGAAATTGAACCTGATTACTGGGGTAGAGGCATGGGAGAGAGTGGAGGATAAGTGAGACACACACAGGCAGCCCAAAGTGGGAGAGACAGCAGCTAGAAAAGGGGAGGCAAAATCTGAAATCACAGCAGGAGGGATCCAGGTAAGATGTACAGAAGGACTTGCTGCCAGGTGAGTTCCAGTTCTGCCTCTAGAGAGCAAAGAAAGTGGAGCTGGGATGGCCAACAGGCCTGGGGCGGGGTCTGAGCCAACCTCGGTGTCCTCAGAACCCCCATATCCCAGCAGGTCCAAGTTTTGATACTATGTTTTTCAAATATTGTCTCCCCAGGCAGGCTGGCTGTTGGGTAAACGCAGCCCAGCACCAGTTGTCAGAACATATTGCTCCCTCCCGGCAAAACCCAGCGCCAATTCCCAACCCCCCCTACCCAGATACACTGGGGGTGGGGGCACCAAGAATGACAGTGTGAGCCCCATCCTCCAGGTCTGCCCTGTCTATTCTCTTTTCCCATGGGAGGCAAGACCCTAGGCCCATTTCTAGGACCCTGGAGTAGGGTGACAGGTATTGTGGCCTGTTAATCCCCTGCACTGGCTGCCATATGCTGAGGCAAGGCCCAGGATCCACATCTGTCAGGCTCCACTCAACAGACCCTGAGGCCTCCCTAGACCCACCTCTCCCGGAGCCCCGGAGCCCTTGCCTCTCCTACCAGGGCAAACCACTGGTGGTTCTTCAGACAGGAAGTGCAGCTTCAGGCCTCCTGGCCCATTCCCCAGGTGGTGCCCTCTGTGGGAACACCCTCTCCAGAGTGCCTGACGCACCTCTCAAGTTGCTTCAAGATCCCCCACCCATCACAGAAGTTCCCTCCTCGGGAGACTGGCTGGGGGAGGGGAGAACAGAACCAGCCCCTCCCCCAGTCTGTTGGGGCACAAAGCTGGTGCTGACTGAATAGCAGGCTCTGGTGAGAGGGGGCAGGTAGGAGAAAGGGCTGTACAGCCACCATCACCCTCCGATACACCTGGGAGGCCCCCACTAACAGTTGTGGATATACACACGTCCACACTTGCATGCCCACACACGTCCTCACAAGCATGTGTTTGCTCAAGAACTTGACCTGCTAGTGGGGTGGGGCTCAAGGAAGCTGGGGAACACTGTCCTGGCTTGGGGAGGGCAAGATACAGTCTGGGTCCCTCAGAAACCTTTGCTCCTATGTATCAGGGGGCTCAGGTTAACTCACATCCCCCCCCCCCACACCCCAATAACCTCATTTCTTCTGCATCCGTTGTGGTGGTAACAAGGGCAGGGTCACCAAGGACAGCATTAGAGCCCCCAAGGTATCCAGGAAGGTGGAGGGGTTTGCCCCACTGGGCCCCTACAGGGACCTCTCACAATGCCCTGGCCTTTTAAAGGAGTGAATGGGGGATGATCAAGTCTGCTGGGGCTTCAGACCCAAGTCCAGGCTCCCTCTTTGGCCGCATGAGGGATGGAAAAGAGAAGAGAAGAGGGAAGGAAGAAGAGGAAGACAGGGACAGAGAGAAGGAAGGGGAGGGCACTTCCACAGCTGCTTCCCCTCTGCCAGCCCCTAGATGTATTCCACTTAGCCTCGGCCTCAGAGAAGCCCCCAGTCAGGTGAACCAGGTGGGTGGACAGAGAAGGAACAGCCACCGCCACCTGGGAGCCCACCAGGAGGAGAGCAGAGAAAGAAGGAAAGAAGCCTGGCGGGAGGGAGCAAGGGAGGGAGGCAGGCGGGAGGGAGGAGGAGAGAGGGAGGAGAGAGGGAGGGACGGAGGAGAGACGTTCGAACAAAGAACCGAGGAGCTGGGGCTGGCAAGGGGTGCAGAGAAGGGGCGGCCAGACAAGGGGGTCTGGAGGCACTTGGGGGTAGCGCAGGGGGCTAGGTGGTCGAACCGTCTGGCCTGATCCAGACCTCTCAGGCTTAGAGTGAGGTGGGGGGTGGGGGGCAGTGAGCAGCTTGCCTCAGAGAAGGGAGGTTAGCTCCTCAGAGCTGAGAACTGCCTGGATGGAAGGGAGGCAGGAGCAGGGGCTGCGGGGGAACACGGGATGGAATTATTAACAGCACCCCAGCCCTAAGATATCCCCTCTACCCCCAAGCAGGCCACAGATCCTATCTGGCTCCTTGGCTTCCCCCTCCCCCAACACCCATGGACCAGGAAGCAGAGCTACACCACCACAGCTGGGATTGAAACCCCCCTTTCATGGTCAGGGGTTTCCCAGTCAAGGTCACCTGGGCTCAGTTTCATCCTCCCCCTCAAGGTATGCCTGACAGAGCATGGGGGGCACTGAGGCTAGGCTGCTGGCCTTCTCTCCCCCAACCCTAGCACTTCCGGGCTTGGCTCCTTCAGAACTGAGGGGCAGCAAGCAGCAGGGGTAGGCTTGCCTGGTGCCCTTGCCTTCCAGCACACCTTACCCTATGGGTTTAGGCACACTTCCTGGGCAGCCTCAGAAAAGGCCCCAGCTCTATCCGACTCCCTGGGCTGGGATGAGCCTCCCAACCCCTGAATACAGTTTCCCCGGTCTCTGCAACTAGGACAGGGGCTTCTGGGAAACAACCTGGGTGAATTCAGGAGAACTGTAACCCACAACCTGGCCCAGCTCCAGGGTGGACACACCAGTGCCTTCAGGTAATCCCCCTCCCCCAGGTGTTCATGGGCTGGTGTTCTCAACACAGTTATCTCAAGAACTGTAAGTTATTTAAGCAGCCAGCCCCTCAGCCTTAGCTCCAGCTGACCCATCCTGCCAGCCCTGCCTCACTCCTGGGCTACCTTGACACTCTCTGGTCCCACTTGCTCTAGGCGAGCCCACCAAGCTCCTAGTGTCCCCTGCCCATTTCACCACTGGGGCCCCAGCCTGCCCAAATGGGAGGGCTTAACAGGCTCTCCTACGTCACCTACAGCCCACAACCAGGTCCCTAATTCAAGCAAGATTCCGTGCTGGAAAAGCAAACCCAAGCTGGCAGCTGGGGGTCAAGGGGCTAGCACAGGGTTCAGAGAAAAGCTTCAGGGCTGGAGGTCCTCCTGCCTTGCTGATCTGGGGGACCCTCCACGTGGGGTCTGCCAGTACAGCGCTTCCCTTACAGCAGATGATCTGGATCAGGACACTGAGGCAGAACAGGCACACCTAAGGGGAAGAACGCTGCCTGAGGCGTTAGTGGGAAAGAGCTGACCCAGGAGAAGGGGTATCTGCTCCAGGAACGTGGGGGGTGCTTGGGAGCACCCACCCACTCAGAATCTTATGATTAAAAAGTTGCTTTGCACACTGGTGACCCCGCAGGACACACCGACCATACATCTCTATGTCGCACCGATGATAAGGGGACAGGCAGCCCGGACAGGTACGGCGCCCACTCCAGTCCTATCTCCCCTGCATCCTCGGGAAGCCCGCAGCCTCTCCGATCCCCGCGCCCCGGACACTTCCGCAGAGTTGCAATGCCCCAGGTCCCAGAGGGATCGCGGGGTGGCCCGACACCCTGCCCGCTCCCTCCCGGTTCCCGCCGCACTCACCTCCTCCGCGGCGGCGGGGCCTGGGCTCCCGGGCGGCGGGGGCGGCGGCAGAGCGGCTCCCGGTTGGGCCGGCCGGCGCTAGCGGCCCCCCGGGGCCATGGCCCTGCCCGCGCCCTCTCGCCGCTGTGCCTGAGCCGGGGTCGACGCCGCGGCCCGGGTTTTAACGGGTTCTGTGGGCTTCGGGCGCGTCAGCAGCCGAGGCCCCGGGCCCCAGCCCGGGCCATGGGAAGGCTCAGGGGCGCTCGGGGCCGCCTCCCCCCGGGTGGGCTGCGGGCGCCCCCTGGCCGGCGCGCCGAGGGCGCATTCCCCGGCGCGGGGCGCGGGCGACGGCGCGCGCTCGGCTTAGGGGAGCTGCGCTTGGCTCGGCCCGGTGGTGCTCGCCTGCTTGCTGAACTGGGGCCGGGCGGCCGCGCTGGGCTGCGCCGCTCCTCGCGACGCGCCCTGGCCCTGTGCTGCACTCGGGGATCGCCGGACCGCGGCCGTTCGCTCGCTCGCTCTCTCTGGTCTCGCGGCCGCCGGCGGGACGGGGCGCTCGGAGCCGCGCGGGGAGCGCCGGCAATTGGCCGCCCGTGGGCGACATTTGCATAGCGCGGCCCCGCCCCGCCCGCCCCGCCCGGCCCCACCCCCGGGGCGGGACCCGCCCGGCCGCCGCCCCGCCCCCGCTCCACCTGTCCGCGGGCTGGGCCCGGGGCTCCCGGGCTGTGGGGCAGCCCGCGCCAGGGGAGACTAATCTGCACCCCGCGCCCCCGCCCTGGCTTCGCGGGCGGCGCCCCCGCCCCGCCCTGGCTTTGTCTCTCCGTGGATACACCGTGCACGCCGTGTCTGGTGTTTACTCGGGCACTCAACTCCCTGGCGGGAAGGGCGGGCGCGCCGGGGAGCACGGAGCCTGCGCTCACCTGCTCACCCCCTGCCGTGTCACTCCTTCCCACTTGCTGCGGGCCGCGCCTGGCCCCGCGCGTGAGTCCCGCAGCTTAGGACCCAGGACTGCCCCAGCC